TGATGATGATATTTGTAAACTCCATTGTGTAGAAACATCAATTTTATTTAAATTTAATTGATCACCCATACCAGATAATTGATTATGATTTAATTTTTGTAAATAATATGATTTTAATGAAGGAATAAATATATCTTTTGTTGTTAAAGAATCTATTGACATTTTATTATGTATATGATTATTTTGAAGTAATTGTAATGTATGAGCTTGTTGTGGTAAAATTTGTATATTAGAAATAGGTTCTTTTTGATTAATATAAATAATATTATCAAGAATATAAGATGATAATGGTATTGATGATGATAAATTATTTTTAATTGATTGTTGATATAGATTTTCTGAAGATATTTTTCTTGTTGATTGATTTTTTTTTGAACAATGATAAATTTGTTTTGATCGTTTATTTAATCGACATGTTGAAGTATATAACATAGCATTTGAACTATATGAAGGATAATTTGATGGATTATGATGATATTGTGATTGATGTAAAATTCGACGTTCTTTTTTATGTTTAATATTTTGTAAATCATGTTGAAAATCATCAACTAAATTTCGATGATGTTTAATCTAAATAATGAAATAAAATTTTCGACAGTCAGAGTATCTTCTATTCTATCTTATTGTTGTTTATATTGAGGTTTGAATAATATAGATGGAATTCATTCATAGTGAAATGTACTACTAGCATAGTTATTAATCTCAAGATAATTTGAATGAATACGATTATCTGTGAAGTAATCATTTATATAAAAATAGTAGTTGAATACACATCTATAGATCTTTTTGTGAAAAGACGAAGAATTCTTTCAATAAATATCCAAAAGAATTTTACCGAATATGTTCTTATTTTAGAAATGTGACCTGTATACCGATGTACACTGCGTCAATTAGGTCTTATGATCAAGAGAATGTTTTCTTTCTTGTATAGAAAATCTAAAGAATTTATTCAGAGTATCTCACAAAAGAGCATAGAAGTGACTGCACGATATGTTTTCTATAAACTATTCTTTCTTATTCACTGTTTCTCAATCGAAACTGACATGTCGCTATGATGATGCAAGTAAAATATTTCTACTTCATTTATCCAAAGCGAGAGATCTTCTAATGTGTCGAAGGTTTTATAAAGATACATCCGTTTTATTACATGATGATGATGATGATGATGATGATGACGGAAATGATTTGATGATGATGAATGTCGAGGATTACAATAATGATGAGAAGAATTTTTTAAAGTATGATTTGTACTTTTAGAATAAAGCATTGTTAATTGATGACTTTCACTATCATTCATTGGAATCATATATTGTGAATTATTCTTATCAATATCATATCGTATGCATTCAGCTAGAGTATGTAATGCAATCATAACATCATTAATATCTTTACGTGAAAGATTTAAATATGTATCAGATATAGTTCGATGTGAAACAATTGTATATTGACTATTATCATTTTGTTGAGAATTTAATGTTATAATAGGTTGTGTATTATTTGTTTGATTTTGATTTAAATGATGATTTTGTTTGATTTTTAATGATGGTTGAATTAAATGTGATGTCATTATTGAACCTGATGGAAGTCCAGCTGTAATTAATGATGGATTTGAACCTGATATATAATCATATTCGTTAGTAGTTTGTAATGAAATTTTATTCATTCGAATAAATTTTTTCTTTGGTTTTTTTTTCTGTATCCGAAAACGAAGAATCAGAAAAAAAAGACGACGAATGAAAGCGCGAAATAAATTTTAAGGAAAATAGATGATAACAATTATGAATAAGTTATTGAACGCGCGTGGAAATATTTCAAATTATTTTAGATAGATAAAACTATGAAAATTCAAAAATATATATATTTTTTTTTGTTGCATTATTATTGTTCTATTCTTTTACTTGAACATTTATCTTTAAAAAAAAATAGTATTTTGTTCAATTATATTCAATCTATCGAAATCATCAATGAAAACATCGATTATAGAATATTTGTTAAAAGACAGAATTATGCTATAATGATGTGTACTATAAATGAATATTCGAGAGTTTTCTTTATCAAATAATACTGTTTATCTTACTATTATACGTATAGATATCAGTAACCATGACACATCACTTATATCATGATGCAACATATGGATAACTTGGTTCAAGATGGTATATGATAAATGATTGCTTATTTTTTTTTTAATGGATCGTAGTCGCCTGACAAACTATTGTAGGATGTCATTTTCTCAAAGAGGTTATTATGCTGAAATCTTAACAGACACTATAATCTATGTTATTGGATATGTGATAGATATATATTTAGATTAAAGATATCCGTCTCCTTTCTCG